GAGAAAAAAGGCCTTAAGAAGGCTTAGTGCTTTCCTGACACGGTGTAGCCTACGTTACTGGGCATATTGGATCACATCGACTGTTTCTCACAATTGAGTCAACTAACAAAGCTAAACACGTCCTAGGATGGTGTCGCGGGTTACGGGGATATTCGCGACATGGCGGGGAAGCGGATCACAAGGGTTAATAAGATACCATAAAATCTCGTGAAATCCACTACGGTACCCGGAAAAACTCGCGAAACTCGCTATGTCCGGACCAGGATGGGTTAACCCCGGGCCAGTGAAAGAACTAAATGCAGCCCTGGCCGACGTTTCTCATAGGCCGGCTCATGCCAACCAGCACTTGCCAATCTCAGTAGTTAAAACTCAAGCGATAGGAGCGTCTTACTGGCCCGGAGCAAACAAATCCTGGTCCGGACATAGCGAGTTTCGCGAGTTTTTTGCGGTATCTCTAGAATCCCTGAACTCTCTGGGTTCTAAGCTAGAGGCTGGTGAGAAGGATTCGCGTTTTCTCAACACAGTGCCGTAGAAATTCGTTCGATTCTCAGTGATCCTAAGCGGCTAGTCCGTCCGGCTCTGAGTACCGCCGGACTGGCCAAGGTTTTTTCAGGGACGGCCCGGCCGGACTGTGGGAAAGCGGCTTTTCCAAACCAAAGCCGGGCCCAGCCTGGGTCACCCGCAGCCCGATGTTTCAAGGGATCACCTGTGTTTGATTACTAAGAAATATTTCATTATTCAACAGGACTAACTGTTTCATGCGGACAATACATATACACCCGGGGTGGCCAGAGAGTTGTGTGAAGAATAGTATAGTGTCTTGAGGTAGGACAGCATACTTGGGTACAGCGGGGGTTCATCGCTGGATGTCATGCATTTACCTTAAGCGAGATCTAAGTTATAGCGTCAGGCGCATGTTGCTCCTGATATCTTGTTCCGAGTGATTAAAAGTGGAAAGCCTGCAGGCTGTCCATAGATACCTTCAGATTACCTGGGCATCTGGGGGCTTTCCCCAGGCATCTGGCAGCTCTCGCCTAGGTTGTGCCAAGACTCGACCCGGGGGTTGCCTGGGCGCCGCCGGGCTTTGGCGGCCGCAGAGAATTTCGACTTGACTGGCCCAGGCGTTCCAAAACCAAGGCTGGACTAACCGGACTGCCGACCTGTAGTCCGGACTATGGTCCGGGCTGGCCGCTTGGGATCACTGTCGATTCCCTAGCTCCATCAGGTCATGTACAGCGCCATAAATTACGACACCGGCCCAAGATAGGTTTAACCTGGGAGGCTAACAGAATAGCGAAAAACAGTTAAGGAGATCAAACACATCCAAATGACTCATATATACCGTTCCAGGAAAGCGCTAACCCTTCTTAAGAGCCTTTGACCCGCAATCCCGAGATTAGTGACCTGGCGGAGCTGGCGAATCGAATGCATTTTTACGGTATAAGATCAGCCCTCAACTGGGGTCGGATCTCATTAACTGGTATTCGCAATTCTGTTAACCTGCCAAACTAAACCTTCTTAGAGGGTTTGCACTGAGAGTTTGGAGGTTAGAGGCCTACCGGAGAGTAGATTTCGTGAGATTTTATGGTATAATACTGCAATAAAATCTGCCATCGAGGAAATTGGCCCACTACCCACAATAGGTTTAGTTGACAGGTTAGCAGAATTGCGAATACCTGTTAATGAGATTCAACACGTCCAGTGAGTTGATTAGATACCCTGCTAGGTAAGCATTGGTCCTTTTTGGAAATTTTTAACTAATAATCGATAGATCACACACAAGGGTACCTGAGATGATGAATTTCAATAGAGTTTTTAGGGTACGGTGAGAATGTATAAGGTTTAAGGCTAATATTTCTGAATTACAGTTCCCAGTGTCTCGCTAGCTCCCTACTCGTATAGTGGTGGTACAGATACTGGTAATAAATCCAGGCTTCGAGTGACAACCCATGCAGATAATACCCAACTGCTAAGCCGTTTGACACCGTAAACTGATGCTCCCGTACTCGTAACGTCCCGACGTTTGTGAACACAACTGCTATTGCATATAGCCAAGAGCTGGCCAGAGCCTCAAAGGTTTGGTGGTATGCAATACCGGTCGTGTTCACAAACGTCAGAACATTACGAGTATATATGTCCCCGCAGGCTTGGTGACAAAACTGTTATCAGATAATTGAACGTCACGTTTATGAATACGACTATTATTGTATAGTCCCCAGATTTAAGCGATAAAGCTGAAGGCTGGGGGTACGTAATTGCAGTAGTAATAGCAAACGTCATTCAATTATGAGTATGGTGCTCATAGCAGGGGCACATGCGAGATCGTGTAGGGATAGAGTGTGGTACTTAAGGTTGACTTGGGTACGGACTTTTCAAACTTTCCTCCTGTTCTACACCCTCCCCCTTTTACCCCGAATCCTTACTTCAAAAATTCTTATTCTTAACCTTATTCTTATAACTTTTATTTTTTATTTTTTATTTTTTTTGAAAAAATGGCAACCTGTGGTATTAGTTGGTTTAGGATATTTACACTCTTTACACGAACCCAATTGCTAACTTAGTAACGTCACTTCTGCCAGGCTGTACGTGTACACTGGCAAAAGCGCCCATAGAATACCTTCTGGGCCTATTCCTTGCTGTCGGGAAAGCATCCGCACCATACCTCCTAGGCCTATCCGTTGCCACCGGCATATTTGGGGGTGGGTGGGACTCGGCCTTACTCGTAACCACAGTCTTCCCGACCGCCATTACGATACTGGCACCCCGGGCCCGGCCCCTTCTGCCGTACAGACTATAACCCTCCCCCCCACACCCACCCACCTCATCGTCTACGTCCGGACCACGTCCCTCGCCACTACAACCCTGACTGTCCTTGCCGCTCCAGACCGGGGGTGGGCGGTACTACAGTGCAAGGAAATGCTGGTGGGAGAACAACGCCGACCGGAGACCTGCGGGGTGCGGCTTCAGCTGGCGAGCAAGATGCCCGAGCCATGCCTCACGGGTGAGTGGGTGCGGTGTGGGGGACGGGAGAGGAAGGGCTGTCGCAAGTACACCAGCCGGCGGGCTGAGTGGAAATTGGAGGAGGAGGAGGTGGTGGAGGCAGTAGAGGAGGTGGAGGGGGAGGTGGAAGTGGCGGAGTAGAGGGGATAAATGGTGGGAGGAGTAGGAGCGGAGGGGCCTGGGTCACTTGTTAGTGTATGAGTAGTATTTGTACTTGGGTGGATGGAGTAGGAGTGGAGGGGGGCTGGGTCGCTAGTTAGTGTCCTATGTTCTCATCGTGTATTCGGAATCCGGTAACTCGAAAGTGTCTTTCGAAGCTAGTAGAATTTGTACTAAAATAGGATCACAACATCATGGCCTGGTAATATACCGTAGAACCTCGTGAAATCCACTATCTTCGTCTGCCCGCCCCCCCTGAGAAAGGATTAGCGTTTTCCCGATACAGTAAAGATAGGACGGCTAGGTGTGTGTTGGCTCTTGCTAACCGGTATTCCCAATTCATTAACCTGCTGGACTAAACCTATAGTGGGATGATGGGGGGCCGGAGAGTGGACTTTTAGGAGATTTTACGGTATTCCCTTGTCGGATCAAGATCGTTCTTTTTTTTTTGTGGGTCAATAGGAAAAAAGGCAGGGGTGACTTCATTCAGGCTACTTGAGTGAGCGATCAAGTAACTTCGTATCGAATCGTGACCAAACTAGCTATTATCATACCCATATTGGAATGATATATTAGGACTAGGTACTTACTACTAATTGCTGGCTCCGAATACACGATAAAAATACAAGTACCCTATGATTAATATTTGTACTTGGGTGGGTGGGCGGGTTTGTTCCTTTATCCTTTACACTGTATATGTTGGCTCTGAGTAGGAAGTTTTTTTTTGAGGGTGGGGGGACAGAGCGTTCGGCCCCGTGGCAGGCGGATGAGCTCTGGGGGGGATACCGCGGAGCAAGTATTTTGCGCACAATATGGAAAGGTAACACTTGCAATTTGGTATGAAAGCTGGTCTGATAGGTAACACGCTATTGAGAATCGCCCGTACTCCACCGGAATCCATTCGAGAATCAATTCCCCCCGCCCAATGCCCAGCTTCACCGGCTACCATTCGTCGGTACCATCTTCCTGAACGAGTACCCTCGATAGATGAATGTATCTGCTTTAGAATGGTATCATACTGGAGATTCTCGCGAGCCGGTTTACACAGCTACCCCACGAGAAAACGCGTCGAGGGTAGAGCCCAGGTCGCCGGGTTTGGGGTACTTGGTTGCTTTGGTCGCGACTTCCTGCCTCACGTCCGCCCTCCTGCTACAGCCACATGTGTCCCTCGCCACGCTCAGGTGGCATCGCTGCGTCAGTGTAAACTTCTCAGTGCGCAGAAATTCTGCGGCTTTATCGGGCCCTAGGGGCTTCCTTGTGTTGGTGGGTTTTGCTGGGCTCGGGTGTGTCCATTAAGATCGGAAAACCTAGCCCCTGTCCCAAGAGGGCAACGCGTGCGATTACCGTTGCAGAAATGAGATCCCGATTTTACTGACTGCCCGAGCACTGCGCCCGTGGGGGCTGTTCTTTCTTATCGGGTATCAGTGTTGCTCGCGACGGGGT